ACCACAGGGGGGTCCCGTGCTTGGAAGCTGCCACCATTGAAAGAAAGCCTTTTGCCTATTTTTTTAATAAATACAAGATGTTCTCTGATTAGATGGGGTGGAGAGGCAGGGCAATGACATCACAATTTCCACCTTATCCAATGAGAGAATGCCCTGTATTCATTGAAAAAATACAAAAAAAGGGTTGATTTACTAAAACTGGAGTTTGCAAAATCTGGTGCAGCTGTGTATGGTAGCCAATCAGCTTCGAACTTCAGCTTGTTCAGTTAAACTTTGAGAAAAAGATTGGTTTCTATGCAGAGCTGTCGCGGATTTTGCACTTTCCAGTTTTAATCAACCCCAAGGTGTTCTATGAATGGGGGCAGAAGTGAGCACCCAACCCCCTGTGGTCAGTGTGACACAGGATCCGGAAGATGGCAGAAATCACTGTGGTAGTGCCAATTGCCACAGTGGTTGCCCATATCCAAAGCAGTCCTTCAGGTATGAGATATGCGTACTTACATCTAAGCTGGACCAAGGGATCTGTTACCTGCACTCCAGACACCTTAAGACCCACCTTGGACAATGACATCCTGATACTTCTTACATTTTCTGTCAAAGCAGACAAGTCTCAGTGGCTGAGGTGGGCCCTCTGGGTGCTCACATGGAAGAAAAATATATTTGAAATATATTTTAAAAATATTCTTCCCAAATATATTGACATATATTTGAAATGCTACAATTTTGGCCATAATCAATATATTTCAATATATATATATATATATATATATATATATATATATATATATATATATACACACACACACACACATATATATCTATATATATAGATATATATATCATGTTGAAATGCGTTTTTATTACAAAATATATGAAAGATATTTTCAAATATACTGTATGTCTTTAAAAATACAAATCTACATTTTTAGGATGCATTTACAAATATATGTAACAATATATGTTAAAATTACTTTTTTATATGTTAAAAAAAATCTGAAGAATATATTTAAAAAATATATATTTTTAGAAATATTTTTACATATATTTTGTAATATATTAAAAATGCATTTCAACATGCAGTATACATACATGTTATTTTTTAAATATATTCTTCAGATTTTTTTTTAACATATAAAAAAGTCATTTTAACAAATATTGCTACATATATTTGTAAATGCATTCCAAAAATTAAGATTTGAATTTTTAAAGACATACAGTATATTTGAAAAGTATTTTGAAAAATATTTTTCATATATTTTATAATAGAAGCGCATTTAAAAATGCAGTATATAATATGTGTATATATATATATATATATATATATATATATAGATAGATATAGATATATATATATATATTTTTTTTTAATATATTGAATATGGCCAAAATTGTAGCATTTCAAATACAGTTGCAAGAAAAAGTATGTGAACCCCTTGGGATTCCGTGGAGTTTTGCATGAATTGGGCATAAAATGTGCTCTGAATGTCATCTAAGTCACAACAATAGAAGAGCACAGTCTGCTGAACATAATACTACACAAACATTAGATGTTGCCATGGTTTAATTGCACATAACATGTAAACATTCACAGTGCAGGGAGGAAAAAGTATGTGAACCTTTGGACTTAATAACTGGTTGACCCTCCTTTGGCAGCAATAACCTCAACCAAACGTTTCCTGTAGTTGCAGATCAGACCTGCACAACGATCTGGAGTCATTTTGGACCACTCCTCTTCACAAAACTGTTTCAGTGTAGCAATATTCTTGGGATGTCTGGTGTGAACCGCTCTCTTAAGGTCATGCCACAGCGTTTCAATGGGGTTGAGGTCAGGACTCTGACTGGGCCACTCCAGAAGGCGTATTCTGTGCTGTTGCAGCCATTGTTTTGTTGAATGACTTGTATGCTTTGGGTCATTGTCCTGTTGCATCACCCATCCTCTGCGGAGCTTCAGTTGGCGGACAGATGGTCGTACGTTTTCCTGCAAAATGTCTTGATAAACTCTGGAATTCATTTTCCCATCAATGACAACGATCCGTCCAGGCCCTGAGCCAGCAACGCAGCCCCAAACCATGATGCTCCCTCCGCCATGTTTCACAGTGGGGATGAGGTTTTGATGTTGGTGTGCTGGGCCTTTTTTTCTCCACACATAGTGTTGTGTGTTCTTCCCAAACAACTCAATCTTGGTTTCATCTGTCCACAGTATATTTTGCCAGTAGTGCTGTGGAACATCCAGGTGCTCTTTTGCAAACTTCAAACGTGCTGCAATCTTCTTTTTGGACAGCAATGGCTTCCTCCGTGGTGTCCTCCCATGTACTCCATTCTTGTTTAATGTTTTCCTTATTGTAGATGTGTCAACAAAAATGTTAGCATGTGCCAGAGATTTCTGTAGGTCTTTAGCTGACACTCTGGGATTCTTCTTTACCTCATGCAGCATTCTGCGCTGTGCTCTTGCAGTCATTTTTACAGGACGACCACGCCTAGGGAGAGTAGCAACAGTGCTAAACTTTCTCCATTTGTAGACAGTCTGTCTTACCGTGGACACATGAACACCAAGGCTTTTGGAGATACTTTTGTAACCCTTTCCAGCTTCATGCAAGTCAACAATTCTTGATCGTAGGTCTTCTGAGAGCTCTTTTCTGCCAGGCATGGTTCACATCAGACAGTGCTTCTTGAAACCAGTAAACCCAAAACAGGTGTCAGCAACACATCCAATATCATCCCACTGATTGGAGTCAAGGTTGGCTCACTTCTGGCTCCAATTAGCTCTGGGAGAAGTCATTAAGCTAGGGCCTCACATACTTTTTCCTCCCCGCACTGTGAATGTTTACATGTTATGTGCAATTAAACCATGGCAACATCTAATGTTTGTGTAGTATTATGTTCAGCAGACTGTGTTCTTCTATTGTTGTGACTTAGATGACGTTCAGAGCACATTTTATGCCCAATTCATGCAAAACTCCACGTAATCCCAAGGGGTTCACATACTTTTTCTTGCAACTGTATATGTTAATATATTTGTGAAGCATCTTTTTAAAATATATTTTTCTTCCATATGGGTGAGATCCACAATGATTTCCTCCGTTTCCCCATCTCTTCTAGTCCTTGCACCATGGTACACAGATGGTTCACATTTATATGTTGCGGTGTGCTACAATGCAAGTGCATTGTACTGTTCTGCCTTGGGGTGCCATCCAAAGAGAACAATGTGACTGGTCAGAGCAGGGGTGGACTGACAACTCATGGGGCCCCCGGGCAATAGGGGATCATGGGGCCCCTGTGTCCTTGCCCAAACTAAAAAAAGCCTATGAAAAAGGTATCAGAGGCATCTCATGGGGCCCCATACTGACCACGGGCCCTCGGGCAGTGCCCGAGTTTCCAAATGGTCAGTCCACCCCTGGGTCAGAGGGATGATCTCTTTTGTTTGCCTGCAGTACAGCTTTGAAGTGGAGAATCCCTTTAATCTCCACAATATGGTTCTATGACTTTGATGTCTACAACCAAGGCCTATGTATTGCACAATGCTGCAAGGCTTCCTGTATATGATATGTACATTCAGTATATCGGATTCCTCACTCCAGGAAGCAGAAATGATCTCCTTGGACTCCATCTCCTTCAGCTACTTGTGTAGCATGCAAGTCATTTAAGAGCTTGATAACACAACAGTACCTTGCCAGAATCTCAAGTCTAGACTGAGTAGGATTTTATAAAAGCAGGAAAGCTTGGGATAGTATGAGCAGGACACATTCCTTTAGATATGTTACATAGTTACATAGTTAGTCTGGCTGAAAAAAGACAAAAGTCCATCCAGTTCAACCATATGTTGTTTTGTATTTTTGAGCATTGTGTCTCCAGCTCACTTTTCCCTTTTTTATTTTCTAATCATGCCCGGTCCTAGGGGGATTCTGGGGTGGGCTATGATTTCAGTTGTGCCACCCCACCCCCCACAATGGGCAGTAAGTGCTCTCCATCCATTGCTGTCGGGTGCTGCCCCAACAGCCTCATCTCATGGGACCTTGATGGCTTTCAATACTGTTTTGAAGGTAGACCGCCATGTTGTCAGTGGTCTTTCTTGTATACCATTTCATCTAGGTGGTGGCATCTAGGGCATTGCAATTTTGGGTATGCTGTAGTTAGGCTGGTGCAGGATATGTCCAGTTGGTGACAATACCCTCAGTGCTTCTGGGTGAAGAGGAGGATTCATCTGGGGTCTGAGGAGGTACACCAGAGAGCTGGAATTCTCTTAAAGGTGAGATTATTTTGTCCACATCTGTACATAGTTGCTCAGGAGTTCATCCCAGGGGCGGACTGACCATTTGGAAACTTGGGCACTGCCCAAGGGCCCGGGGTCAGTAAGGGGCCCCATGAGATGCCCCTGGTTCTTTTTTATAGGCTTTTTTGAGTTTGGACAAGGAGTGGAACTCCGCTTTAACCACTTTCTTACCAGGCACTTTCACCCTCTTCCTGCCCAGGCCAATTTCCAGCTTTCAGCGCTGTCACAATTTGAATGACAATTGCACGGTCATACAACACTGTACCCATATGAAATTTGTATCATTTTTTTGAGACAGATAGAACTTTATTTTGGTGATATTTAATCACCTCTGGGTATTTTATTTTTTGATAAACAAACCAAAAACTACTGAACATATTGAAAAAAAAAGTTTTTTTCTTAGTTTCTGTTATAAAATTTTGTAAATGAGTAATTTTTCTCCTTCACTGATGTGCGCTAATGAGGCTGCAGTAATGGGCACTGATAGGCAGCACTGATAGGCACTGATGATGAGGGACTTGTAGGTGGCAATGATGAGCATTAACAGGCATCACTGGTGGGCACTGAAAGGCAGTACTCATATATGGCACTGATAGGCAGCACAGATAGACAGCGCTGACTGGCACAGATAGGCAGCACTGACGGGCACTGTTAGGCAGCACTGACTAGTACTGTTAAGTGGCACTGACTGGCACTGTTAGGTGGCATTGATGGGCACTGAAAGGCAGTACTCATATATGGCACTGATAGGCGGCACTGACTGGCACTGATTGGCAGCACTGATAGGTGGCGCTGATAGGTGGCATTGACTGGCACTGATAGGTGGCACTGAAAGGCAGCTCAGATGGGCACTGATATGTGGCATTGATGTGCACTGGTAAGCACTGATATGAGGCATTGATGTGCACTGATGTGCACTGACAGGTGGCATTGATGGACACTGACAGGTGGCACTGATGGGGCTACACTGATCATCAGGGCACACTGATCATCAGTGCCCTGATGATCAGTGTAGATGTCCCCTCTGAGGAATGCCGATTACCGGCTCTCCTCTGTCAGCGTGACAGCTTGTGGGGAGAGAAATGCCGATAACCGGTATTTCCCTATTTACATGTGATCAGCTGTGATTGGACACAGCTGATCACATGACAGAGCTGAAGTCATTGGCTCTTTCCGCTGATTGGTGATCCACTGTGTCCCAGGGACACAGCGCACCGCCGATCACCGCGCTGCGCCCCCCCAGGGGTGCTCATATGACGTCCTCCCAGACGAGAAAACCAGTGCGCCCCCATCATTTCCTTATATGGAAGGTGGGAGGAGGTTAGAACAGAACTATAGGCAACATCAGGCCCCATGTACACTAGCGTTTGCAGCAGGAGCGCTCAACTTTTTGAAGAGCGAGGGCCACTTAAGTGATTTGGTAACAGTCGCGGACCACAGTGAAATGAAATGGTTCGGGATTTTGAATTTTTTAAAATTTGAATAGTATAATATTTTTTCTCCTGCAGCAGCTGAATGCTGATGCGAGGGAGAGGAGAACCTGGATCCAGCAGTTGCAGGAGGAAAAATGGAGGCGATCCCCTTCCTGTCCAAGTATAAAACAGAATATGACAGTAAGGCCGCATGGGCCCCCTGGAGCATGGGGCAGGTTACCATTACTACCTCTGACACTACACCAGTGGTCGGGGGTGTGTGGTGAAAACACGTCTCAATTTTGGGTTCTCACTGCCCCCACGCTGCAAATATAAATGAGCCTATACTGTTCTGAAGCCCCTCTAAGGCTGCTTTCACACTGATCTGCTGTGGTTTACCCGCAACATGGTTCAGCATAGTGTACCTGCACCTTTCCTGCAGGTTAGCTGTGCTTTGCCATAGACGTCTTTTATATTTTGTGGGCGAAAGCACACCAAAGCTGCAGGATATAATAGAAGTGCGTTTCCCTGGTTTGAGGTCGAGCGCCACATCAAGGGCTCCGAGGGCCACAGGTTGAGCACCCCTAGTTTAGAAGCTGTTATCAGCATTTTTTCCGCTCCTAGAAGCTAGTGTTCTCCTATGTGTTCATGCAGACAACTTTGGGCTATTAGCATTCTTTGAGCTGCAGCATCTAGGAGAAGAGAAAAAATTGTTTTTGTAGAGTTTTTTGGAGTGTTTTTCCAGCAGAACAAGGCGGACTGACAACTCATGGGGCCCCCGGACAATAGGGGATCATGGGGCCCCTGTGTCCTTGCCCAAACTCAAAAAAGCCTATGAAAATGGTACCAGGGGCATCTCATGGGGCCCCCTTCTGACCCCGGGCCCTCGGGCAGTGCTCGAGTTTCCAAATGGTCAGTCCACCCCTGTGCTAAACATTCCTAAATGCTGGTAAACGCTACTAAAACTCTCCTAACAGCTTTTTTTTTCTATTTTTTTTTTCTACATGTACTGTAAAAATGCTAATAAAATGCTGATGCTCCTAAACGCTTCTAAACGCTACTAAAAACCGCTATTACAAGCTTTTTTTTATCCAGCGTTTTTTAGTAAAAAAAAAATGCTAGTGTGCATAGAGCCTAAAGGATATGTATGACGCAGTCAGTTACTAGCATTCTCACAGCAGTTTATGCTTTTTTTAGTTCCACTCGTAATGTAGTTTTATTATCTGTTAATCCCACCAACAAACTTTTATTCTTTTTATTTTTTTAAACAGGTTGAGAACATTGTCCATTCTGCAATGAAATAGCAGCAATGTTGTCACCCTCTGGACAGGGTAGTTTTATTCAGGTATGTATAGACTTCAACAGGAGACAAACAAATTATATACATAGTTACAGCAAAAGGATTTTTTTTCTTTTGAAAAAAAAAAAACTTCTATTTTTCTAACCATTAGTCCTCATGCACACGGGACGTTTTTACAGCTTTTGACGTTTTTTTCTACAGCTAGTAAACCCCCCAGCATGTTCTCCTATGTGTCCATCCCCGGCGTGTTCTCCTATGTGTCCATCCCCGGCGTGTTCTCCTGTGTGTCCATCCCCGGCGTGTTCTCCTGTGTGTCCATCCCCGGCGTGTTCTCCTGTGTGTCCATCCCCGGCGTGTTCTCCTGTGTGTCCATCCCCGGCGTGTTCTCCTGTGTGTCCATCCCCGGCGTGTTCTCCTGTGTGTCCATCCCCGGCGTGTTCTCCTGTGTGTCCATCCCCGGCGTGTTCTCCTGTGTGTCCATCCCCGGCATGTTATCCTGTGTGTCCATCCCCGGCATGTTCTCCTGTGTGTCCATCCCCGGCATGTTCTCCTGTGTGTCCATCCCCGGCATGTTCTCCTGTGTGTCCATCCCCGGCATGTTCTCCTGTGTGTCCATCCCCGGCATGTTCTCCTGTGTGTCCATCCCCGGCATGTTCTCCTCTGTGTCCATCCCCGGCATGTTCTCCTCTGTGTCCATCCCCGGCATGTTCTCCTATGTGTCCATCCCGGCATGTTCTCCTATGTGTCCATCCCCGGCATGTTCTCCTATGTGTCCATCCCCGGCATGTTCTCCTATGTGTCCATCCCCGGCATGTTCTCCTATGTGTCCTTCCCCGGCATGTTCTCCTATGTGTCCTTCCCCGGCATGTTCTCCTATGTGTCCATCCCCGGCATGTTCTCCTATGTGTCCATCCCCGGCATGTTCTCCTATGTGTCCATCCCCGGCATGTTCTCCTATGTGTCCATCCCGGGCATGTTATCCTATGTGTCCATCCCGGCATGTTATCCTATGTGTCCATCCCCGGCATGTTCTCCTATGTGTCCATCCCCGGCATGTTCTCCTATGTGTCCATCCCTGGCATGTTCTCCTATGTGTCCATCCCCGGCATGTTCTCCTATGTGTCCATCCCCGGCATGTTCTCCTATGTGTCCATCCCCGGCATGTTCTCCTATGTGTCCATCCCCGGCATGTTCTCCTATGTGTCCATCCCCGGCATGTTATCCTATGTGTCCATCCCCGGCATGTTATCCTATGTGTCCATCCCCGGCATGTTCTCCTATGTGTCCATCCCCGGCATGTTCTCCTATGTGTCCATCCCCGGCATGTTCTCCTATGTGTCCATCCCCGGCATGTTCTCCTATGTGTCCATCCCCGGCATGTTCTCCTAGGTGTCCATCCCCGGCATGTTTTCCTATGTGTCCATCCCCGGCATTCTCTCCTATGTGTCCATCCCCGGCATGTTCTCCTATGTGTCCATCCCCGGCATGTTCTCCTATGTGTCCATCCCCGGCATGTTATCCTATGTGTCCATCCCCGGCATGTTCTCCTAGGTGTCCATGCCCGGCATGTTCTCCTAGGTGTCCATCCCCGGCATGTTCTCCTAGGTGTCCATCCCCGGCATGTTATCCTATGTGTCCATCCCCGGCATGTTCTCCTATGTGTCCATCCCCGGCATGTTCTCCTATGTGTCCATCCCCGGCATGTTATCCTATGTGTCCATCCCCGGCATGTTATTCTATGTGTCCATCCCCAGCATGTTCTCCTATGTGTCCATCCCCGGCATGTTCTCCTATGTGTCCATCCCCAGCATGTTCTCCTATGTGTCCATCCCCGGCATGTTCTCCTATGTGTCCATCCCCAGCATGTTCTCCTATGTGTCCATCCCCGGCATGTTCTCCTATGTGTCCATCCCCGGCATGTTCTCCTATGTGTCCATCCCCGGCATGTTCTCCTATGTGTCCATCCCCGGCATGTTCTCCTAGGTGTCCATCCCCACCATGTTATCCTATGTGTCCATCCCCGGCATGTTCTCCTACAGTTGCAAGAAAAAGTATGTGAACCCCTTGGGATTACTTGGAGTTTTGCATGAATTGGCCATAAAATGTGCTCTGAACGTCATCTAAGTCACAACAATAGAAGAACACAGTCTGCTGAACATAATACTACACAAACATTAGATGTTGCCATGGTTTAATTGCACATAACATGTAAACATTCACAGTGCAGGGAGGAAAAGGTATGTGAGGCCCTAGCTTAATGACTTCTCCCAGAGCTAATTGGAGCCAAGAGTGAGCCAACCTTGACTCCAATCAGTGTGATGATATTGGATGTGTTGCTGACAGCTGTCCTGCCCTTAAAAAAACACACACTGTTTTGGGTTTACTGGTTTGAAGAAGCATTGTCTGATGTGAACCAAGCCCCGCAGAAAAGAGCTCTCAGAAGACCTACGATCAAGAATTGTTGACTTGCATGAAGCTGGAAAGGTTTACAAAAGTATCTCCAAAAGCCTTGACATTCAGGTGTGCACGGTAAGACAGACTGTCTACAAATGGAGAAAGTTTAGCACTGTTTGCTGCTCTACCTAGGCGTGGTCATCCTGTAAAAATGACTGCAAGAGCACAGCGCAGAATGCTGCATGAGGTAAAGAAGAATCCCAGAGTGTCAGCTAAAGACCTACAGAAATCTCTGGCACATGCTAACATTTTTGTTGACACATCTACAATAAGGAAAACATTAAACAAGAATGGGAGTACATGGGAGGACACCACGGAGGAAGCCATTGCTGTCCAAAAAGAATATTGCAGCACGTTTGAAGTTTGCAAAAGAGCACCTCGATGTTCCACAGCACTACTGGCAAAATATACTGTGGACAGATGAAACCAAGATTGAGTTGTTTGGGAAGAACACACAACACTATGTGTGGAGAAAAAAAGGCACAGCACACCAACATCAAAACCTCATCCCCACTGTAAAAACATGGCGGAGGGAGCATCATGGTTTGGGGCTGCTTTGCTGCCTCAGGGCCTGGACGGATTGTTGTCATTGATGGGAAAATGAATTCCAGAGTTTATCAAGACATTTTGCAGGAAAACGTACGACCATCTGTCCGCCAACTGAAGTTCCGCAGAGGATGGGTGATGCAACAGGACAATGACCCAAAGCATACAAGTAATTCAACAAAACAATGACTGCAACAGCACAGAATACGCCTTCAGGAGTGGCCCAGTCAGAGTCCTGACCTCAACCCGATTGAAATGCTGTGGCATGACCTTAAGAGAGCGATTCACACCAGACATCCCAAGAATATTGCTACACTGAAACAGTTTTGTGAAGAGGAGTGGTCCATAATTACTCCAGATCGTTGTGCAGGTCTGATCTGCAACTACAGGAAACGTTTGGTTGAGGTTATTGCTGCCAAAGGAGGGTCAACCAGTTATTAAGTCCAAAGGTTCACATACTTTTTCCTCCCTGCACTGTGAATGTTTACATGTTATGTG